CTCAGAAATCAAGTTCATAGACACAGAGAACAGATTGGAAGTTGCCAGAAGGGGCTGAGGGATGGGAGAAGTGGGTGAAAGTGTAAAGGTACAGACTTACAGCTATAACATAAACAATAAATAAGTCCCAGGGATGTAAGGTGATACACAGCATGACTACAGGTCATAGTGCTGTACTGCATAGTTAAAGGCTGCCAAGAGAGTTCTTTATTTAAAAAGTATAAGTTCAAATATTTACTAATTACCTTATTAATTAACTTTACTAGTTATGTCAGATAGCATAGTCACTATATTCAAACAATATATTCAGGGTTTGAGTATTAGAGGTTCAAAACAATTTTGACCACTAATGGTAAATTCCACCTTTCTCTCCCAAAGCAAAAGAAACAGGTAAAAGTTACCAGTGATCAGACCAGTGGAGACCGGACCCAGGAAAGGCCTATCCACAGCTCCCTCAGTCAGGCCAAGGCTTCATGTGATTTTCTCTTTCTCTGCTTCCTCAAGTGAAAGAATAAACATGAGACACAGACTATAAAAGTAATAGCATAATGGTATTAAAAAGTACAAATGTCATGTAAACAAAAAATATGGAAGGGATACATGTGTATACAAAGTTAGACATGTAGAAAATCATCTCCTATCTTACAATAATGCCAACTCTAAGAGAATAAAGACACATAAATGCGCGTTATGATCTTTGAAATGGAAATGCTTTTGGTGAGGTTTTCAAGGTGCTACATTAAAATATATAACTTTTAGGCCCTCCCTGGTGGCACAAGGGGTTAGGACGCAGCACTGCAAGCTAGTTGCAGCCTCTTCACTTCCCTGTTGCTGACCCACATGGCGCAGCAGACCTCTCCTGTCTAACCCATGCTCCCCTCAGCAGTCGATCTTCCTGTTCTGCTCCCGTCTCTGGTGAATCCTCTCACTGCTCCTGTACCCCTAGCCTGTACCCCAGTACTGTATGCATAAATAAATCTTATATATATACATATATACATCTTTTAGCATTAATATACAATCTACTGTGCCATGTATTACATTTTGGTACAGTGACTGTATGATGCAGCATTAGGAAAATGTCACATTTGATGAAAATTGTATTTAGAAGAGACATTATATACTCTGGACAATGATTTGATGTTTCAAAAGGATTTTAATGTAAATGTGTATTTCATTGAAATTAGGTAAACTATTCTTTATCTTAATCAGCTTTTTTCCTCTAAGGCACAATCTGTTTTATGGTCCTTCCCTAGGAGACAGATGAAAGCAAACTTCTATTTTTAGCTTCCCAAGCCTGAGGTGAAAAACCTCAGCATGCCTTCTACCTGTACCTTCTGAGCTACCCAGGCTGGGTGCAGCATGAGCAGAGAGAGACACCAGAAGTGAAGGGCAGGCACACGGAGTGGAGAGAGGACCCAGACCGTGCGCTCTGCTGCCATCTGCTGTCACTGCACCTTCAGTCAAACGAGATATCAAGTCTCCGGTCTTAAGTACTTGCCAAGACTATTCACCTTGTTTTGCGTAATAATTGTAGGCTGGAAGTTCATTTGCCTCTGGTCCTTACCATTAGGTAGTATTTTAAGTTTTAGTGGCTTTGTAATGATATAACGATGTTATTTTTGTATTCTCATAAGGTTTTTCATATGTGCTTGTTGGTCATTTCAAAATTCTCTTCTGAAAGATCACCAATTATTCCAGAACTGACTGTGGAAGATCCCCTCTTGTCTCACTGCCCAGTCACTCTTTCAGATATTGAAGAATCCATTAGGTGGGAGTGCATAAACTTAGCTTATTAAACCCGCCGTATAATATAAAAATGTTTAATGATATGGCTCCTGTTTTCTTCTCCAACCTCATCTTCCTCCAAACCTCTATATGACCTGTTCTTTGTCCTTATGTGATGAGGAGTAGAGTGGCCATGAAAGACAATACTCAGAAGCTTATTATACTCACACGTCCTAGAAACAGGAAGCACAGCATACAGAGCAGATAATGCCAGGCCACCCCACCCTGCACAGGGCCATATGGGGAAGCACCTGTGTTGGCCAGGAGGCCTAGACCACAGTTTTCATTAGTTTCTGCAAGAAAGGCCAGCAGGGTAAAGTGTAAGACTCTAAGGTATAGTAAGGGCTCCTAGTTGCCTGGTACCTGGTTCTGGGATAATTAAGGTGGAAGAATTTTGCCTTTTATTTGTAGAAGTCAGAAAAGGTGTGGCTCTGGGCTGCTTAGTTTGAGTGTCCCTACTCTACTGGGCCCTTTGCTATCTCTTAAGAACTTCTAATGGCTAGTCCCAATTCTTATTATCTCCCCAGCCAGAAGAAAAAAAAAAAAGTCAGAACATCAAAATTAAAAATCACACTCATGCTCAGGATTTAAGTTACTTGTACTATCCCAACTGCCATCTGCTTCATGTCAGAGTACAGGCTGTTCCTTGCTTTGATTGCTCATTTTGCTTCAAAGACCACATTTCGCAGGTCAAAGCACTGATGCTCACAGATGCGGTTAAGAACTCTCCCCACATCACACCCTGATGGCTGTAGCATTGTTCTGATCAATGTAATTACTGGCTAATACACTGTTCCTTTGACTAATTGTAAGGCCCTCTGAAGGGGTGGGGTGTGGGAAGAGGTAAAAACTATTTGAATGATTTCAATGAAAGGCACTCTCCCCCTTCCAGAGACAGCCTTCTATTTTCCTCCCACTATTTTCTCATCTATTTCATAAGGCAGATAGATCTACAACACAATGTGATGACATCTTCTTGCCTCCTTTCAGATGCTTGTGATTACCAGAGCTTCTTCTTAGCAGATTGGGGTGGTTGAGATATAGTTCAGAACTTATCTTGATCCATCACTGAGCTCAGTAATTTGAGTTTTAATATCATGGGATTAACATATTAGCAAGATAGAAAATATATGTGGAGGCAGATGGTTTAAATTAAAAATTGTAAAAACGTCAGTGTTCATAGTTTACTCACTGTGATGTCTGCCTTAATGAGTTAATCTGCAAGCAATAAGCAAGTTATTCCCATTGTGGAGATGCAGAATGATGCTCAAAGGTGCTAGATGACTTGTTTAAGGTCCCAAAGCCAATGACAGGAGCAAAATTTAAATTCAAATTCAGGGCTTCTGTTACTAACCTGGAGCATTTTCCATTAAGTCATAATGTTCAACTTACATATGTCCTCTCAGCTTTTACTTACAGAGAGATAAAAGGATACATGTTTTATGATTGCAAGCATTGAGTTAATTTTTCTCAATCTAGAATATCAAGTCTTTTCAAAAGGCAGCTGTTAGGACAGCAATACCAGAAAAATAAATACAAACAACTCAACAGGGAGATATATCTGTGGAATACTTCAATGGCCTCTGCATTTGTAAGGAGGCTACAAAGCACACAGTAGCTTGTGAATAACCTCTAGGCAAACCTAGAGTTTGTTTCATTATGAAATGGTGAAGAGGTTTATCAAGTATTTCCAAGTAATCAGTAAAATTAAGACTATAAGACACAGACTACAATGACTTGCTGCTATAGCAACAGATAATGGATCTAGTGATCATACAATTTCAGTTGTTACCATGTGAACATAGTCAACAGTATATTAAAATCTATGTCACCAGAGATCTAACCAAAATAAAAAGTAGTGTATACATCTAATTTAAAAGGCTTTTAAAATGTATTTTCTCAGTTCCAATTTATCAGCAGGTGAGTCAAGAGATTTTTTTTTTTCAAATTTCCATTTAAAAACACTCACACTAAAATAACTTTTGTGTGGAACAAGAGTTGAGTTTCTTTCATAAGTTTCTGAGTGGGTGGTCAAAAAAAAAATCTGTGCTGGCATATTTAATTAAATATGAGGCTTAAAAAGGCACTCCTGTAATGTGACCAGTTAAGAAACTGAAGTTCCAAAAACTTATTAGCCCTTTCTTTTTCTCCTCAGTCATCCTCAAGATTTAGGGAAATGCTAAAGATTTGATTTTGGCAATGGCTTATATTCCTAAATGCTGTTTCATGAAGTACACAATAACACCAAATATTTTATTCTTTATTTTCAGTTCAGAAATATAAACATATTTACACAGTTTTACACATATGTTTTTATACAGCATTAAAAAGGCAGTAAGAACTGTTAGTTTTGAAATGCAAGGTGTCTTTCAAGTACCTTATGTACAATGAAAAGTATCATTAAAGAACACACTGAAGAAAAACATACTCTTTTCCACATAATGGAAAAAAGTCAATGGTTAAAAATGTTCATTAATTATATTTTCAGTTCTAGTTTTTTTCTTCTTAAAAAAAAATAAAATCAACCCTAATGACTTATGAAGCCTGAAAGTTTTGTTAGGCAAAATTATCTTGTCAATATAACGATAATGCTACAGTTTATTTTGTTATTCACAACCTTTAAAATTTATAAAGGACAAAGCTTTGGGAGTGCTCTTAAAATGTTAACTGAAAATGTATTTAAAAAGTATATTGGGGAAATGTCACACATTATAGCATAAAAACTATAAATGCCATTAGAGTTGTAAATACACTCAATGGACAGACCTAGTAATATAAGGCACACAGAGGAATTAATTTGTACCATTTCATGTGATGTTTACAGTGAACATCTACAAAACAGGGTGATCAATTAAAATAGGCAAAATGAGTCAGTAATCATATACTTTAAAGTTTCTAAGTAAATTAGAAAATATCTTTCAACATTTTTAACCACAAAACATTTAGAATAAGACAATGAACTAAAATCTAGGTTTCAACTTGGGATCAAATAATTTTGTAAAAATGATCTATAAATGACAAGGACATTTGTTCTGATTATCATTAAAAAGTGCTCAAAGCAAAAAAGCAGGCTTTTGTTTTGCTTCCTTGTTAATGTTTCTTAATTATGAATTGGTGAATTAAACACTATACATAATAGGACAATATATTCTATTATCACATTAAATTCACAAAGGTATATACTTATAAGTCATAAAAAAATAAATCTTCTTGTATAATAAAAAAGAAAACAATTTTCAAAAAATAATGCAAACTAACCTGTTAATCATGACATTTTCTTTTGCCATGATAATATGGCAACTTTTAAGTTACTCAACAAATTAAATCAGAAATCTTTGATCCACCAATGTTTTAGATGCCAAATTCTTCTGCCCTATTGTATTCCGGATAAATCTGAAAATCTGGGGAAAAAAATTAAGCAAGTCAGAATTTTAAAAAAAAATGAATAAAAGGAAAATTTAACATGCAGCTCAATTATCTAAATTAAACTAGCTACTATTCTCAACTATTTACTTTCCTCTTCTAGACATCTGAATGCCATGATTATATACAGAGCTACTTCAAGTCTATTATCCTCTTAAATAATATCAAAGCAGCATATGTTCCTATTTAGAATATATTTTGCTAATAACACAAATCCTTGGGCCTCCTTCGTGTCTAAGTCTCAGCACAATCACTGCTACTTCCTGAGCTCAATGTCCAGCCAGGGAGCTCACCTACAAATGGAGCAGCAGACTCTCCTGCTTTACCTGCTGCTCTCCTGAGCAGTGCATTTCAGTAGATCCACCTGTTCTGCTCCCCACTTTGTCTCTGGTGAATCTTTCATCTCTTGCACCTCTGGACTACACCTGTTCTTCTATACACACACAGAAATCCTTTCAAGTTTATAGAAATACACTTTTAAATGTTATTTCCTTTTTGGTAGGTTAATCAAATGATAAACCTTTACAACCCTGTGAAAGCAAATATCATTACTCTCTGCTAGGGGAATAATTATCTACTTCCAACAAGTCTTTTAAAAGAAACACACACACACACACACACAAACTTAACTTACCTCTTGTTGGAGGTATGTGAGACAAGCTGCTAAAATAAAACTTTGGCAAGCCAAATCCACAACACAGAAGAACAACAGGTCAAAAATAAGAAGAGTGGCTTCATTTCCATAATACAGAACACTGCTGAAAGAATAACCTTCATCTATAAAAAGATTTATAAAATATAAGTAAGAAATAAAAATTGAATAAACTTGTGAAAAAAATGGATATTTAAACACAATATGAACTAGTTTCTACTTGTAATACTTTATGAGTTACCAAAAAAATAACAATCATGAAAATTAGCTAGTCTACAAGATAAGGAACTTCGCTCCTTACAAACAGTTTCAACACTTGCACCAAGGGTTGGGTAATTGCTACTAGCACTGGGAATATCTAGGTGCTGATAATGTTCTATTTTGATCAGGGTGCAAGGGATAAATATAAGCATATATTTATCTAAATATATATTTAGATTGCAACAATTCACTGCTATGTAAGCTGTATCTTCACACAATATGCTCTTCTGTATATATACTGAGCTTGTATATACATAAAAAAAATTAATTCAGTTGCTCCTCTGACAGCTGCAGCAATGAATGACTTCATGTGAGATGCAACTTACTGCACGCCTTTACTGTCTCCTAAGATCTAGTCCCTTACAATTAATGCCTTTATCTCTTTCTAGATGTCCCAAAGATACCTCAAGACAACAACGTAGTCTAAAACTAAATTCTTTCTCTTGCCTTAATGACCTGGTCCTCGAAGACATAGGACCACCACTCTCCATCTCTTCAAACAAGCTGGAAACCTGGGCAAGTTTGATCAATCTTTTCTTCTACATCTACCTCTTTTTTCCTTAACATCACTGGCAATCTCTTTTTCTTTATTCAACATCTCTGCACCAGTGCAACCTGTGCCTGCAGAGAATTCTAGGCCATTCATGGACCTATCTTTCATGGGCTACTCAACAAGATACACAAGGGAATCCCAGGACTGGCACAACCGTGATGCTAAGTAACATGTAGTTGAAGACATTGGTTATACCAATTCTATTCTAAGCACACCATACCAGAGGCTGTCATAGTAAAAGTGACCCATATATGTAATATACTCTCTTTTTATGCCAAGAAACCAGATTTATTTACTATTCCTGTTATGGGTTCTACGCAATTTTAAGAATTTGGAAAAAGTGAAGCATTAAAGATTAATCACAAATGCTATTCTTCTTTAGGTATTTCAAAAATTTCCTACTGAACAAACCTTTTAAAATACAAGAATCTGATATATTTGTTTTATACTCCATTCTTACATGCACCACTGAATGTGGAATTCAGTGTTTTTACTATCTTGTAGAATGATTATTTGTATAGAATGACTGTGACATAATTGTATAGAATGACTGTGATATAATAAAACGGAACAAAGAAAACTATAGCTTTGTGACATTAATGAACTTAATTATATTTCCTGTTTTTATGTGAAGTTATAACAAGAGTAATGAGTTCTTCTTCAAACTTTGAAAATAGTAATCAAGTTCTACAAAGGTATTTGAAAGGTACCATTGTAAAAGATGCTTTTTTCCATTGGTTCCATAAATTCCATTCCAAGAATTCTTTCAAGAAGCAACTTATCTTTTATAAAGTAGTCCATTTCCTTATGAACCTAATATAAAGACAGTCATTTAACAAACAGCAGTGAAATAAATGTTTCCCAAATTAATGTACAACAGGAGAGAAATGAAAATTGAATAGCATGCAAAGAAAATATAGTCTCTAAAAAAGAGTGAATTTTCTACACCACATTTTATAACCAAGAAATATCCTAAAACGTTTAGTAATGGTTTACTGGGGGTGGGAAGAGCACATGGGACTATGGTGATGGCGCCTGGGTGAAATAGTGGTGGGAAGGCCATGGGGATTACAACTGAGATGAAAAATGTACGAAGTGAAGGATAATGTAAAAAATATATTTATAAAAAGTTTAATAATGTTTTAAATTTGATAGTTAATGTAAGTGTTTAGAGCTAGATATAATGAAAATCAATTTATAACAAGTTTTTCAAGTGTACAACCATAGTCTATTTCTACAATGAATTAATACTTATATTTTGGTAATTGGTAACAAAATTCTAGTACAGATACGTTTAAAGTAATCATCCTTATGGCAATAGACATATAAAGTCCCATCTTGACTCTCCCCTACATCACAGTATTAACTTCAGCAGACAGAAAAAAGGGGGGAGACGGGGAGTGGATTTCCGAAGTTCACTGACTTAATTCTCTGGAATTAACTGATATTCTTGATTAATTTTTTTAAATTGGATTTTGATTTTTAAATAGAATTGCTAACATACATACATGATCGATGAAAGATCCGAGAAATTTATTCATAGTGTGATATGCTTTTATGCTCTGCTCAAAAGTACTTGCTGATGAACTCAATAGTCTAGCAGGGCCATTGTTCTAATGTTAGAAAGAGACAAGAAGAAATGCGACATGTCTTATATTGGTGGTATTAAACAACACAAAATATTGGCACTATATATCTAAACTGTACTTTATACAAACCCTTGTTAGTGTTTCATGAATTCTGTCATAGTGTTGTCTCATCTGGCTAGAAATTGCAATCTGAAAAGTCTGGCCATCTGTGTTGGGTACCAAACCTCTCTGGCTACACAAGTTTTCCTGGAAAATTAAGAGATTTAAATGAAAATGCAATTTTTAGTTAGTATCACATATTGCCAGATTTGGAAGTCAATTGAAATTTTACTAAAACTGTTTTTGAGACAAAGATTTATGTTACCCAAGTTTCCTACTTCCTTCTAGGTTTGACTAATTTCTATTTTGTGATACCCTTTTGAAGGTTTTTTTTTAATTACCTCTTCTTTTCTGCCCTACTGAAAACAAATCTCACATTAAGTTCACTATATGTTGAAATTCTCATAATTTTTTATGAATCATTTTATTGTGCTGTAAAGGATACCAAACAACTAGTCTTAGAATTAGCTATAATTAAAAGCTGCAAATAGTCTCTCTTGCTTTCTAACACTTATAAACTGCTTGCTGAATTAACTACAGTAAAAACGCAGTAATACATAAGTGAAGAATTAATATTAGGGACTAGATACCCTTATCAGATCTCCTTGATATAACTTGATTCCTGACAATTATTAATATGCAAGATTTTGACCCCTCGCAGACATTTTCCATTTATGTTTCAAAGTCAGTGCAAATCCCCTTTATTTGCCTACTCCAGAGTTTCTCCTTTATTTAAACTGAACCACAAACAATATAATATGCGGTTTTCCATGGACCTAATGGAAATACACATGTAGTGAATCTTTCTATCTAAAAGGGGAGAGGCAGGGATATCTCCCTGATTAAGAAAAACACATACTATTGCAGAGAATTTATAAAATATGGAAAAGTACCCCCAAAAGAGGGGAGAAAAATCACTTACAATTTCAACACCTAAAGATACAAGCATTTTATTACATGTTTCCTCTAGGATATTCCAAGATGGCATAAAATGGGATCACACCAATTTCTTTTTCACTTAACATTATACACTGACCAGCTCGCCTACTATTTGATATTCTATAAAACATGATTTTTAATGTCAATCTAAGTATAGGTTTAACAGTCTCTCATTTTTACATGTTTTTGCCTATATTAAAAAAATACCTGAGATAAAATCTTGCAATGAATTAGTTACTCACATTGCTAATATTTTCTAGAGTTACACTCATAGAATAGCAAGTCAAAGATAAGGAACTCTTAAAAAAACTCTTGGTATATATATTGCTAAGTACCTTCTAGAAAACCTGTAAAATTTTATCTTCAGACCAGTAGTTTTATAAAGCCTATTTTACCATGTTCTTGAGGCTATTATCTTTTTTCAAAAGTTTGCTAATTTGGAGAAGGCCAAAATGTTATTTTTACATTAATTAATTTATAAATCAAACATTTTAAATATCTATAAGATTTTTTTGGCATGTGAATATTCTGTACTAATAAAAATAAAATCAGTCCTTGATACTTTCTATTCTCTATACTTTAGAATGTCATCTCCCAAATGGAAATATTCCTTCCTCAGTTTTTTTTAATCTTATATTACCTTTTCAACCAGTGTAATTTTTGATCGTTAGCAAACTAATCTAGTTAAATGGACTTAATAAATCACTCTTCTTAGAGGATACCATCTTTATGTTTTAAAAGTCTTATAAGTTGAAAGCAAAGTACTTAATTAACCCTCATAAGTTTATATTTTTCTTTCAAATTTGATTAGGGAAGTTTTCTAATGTATATAATAGAAAGAAGGGTAAACCACCCATCATCCAATTTCAACAATTACCAACTAACATGTTATCAATTTCTACCACCCTATGTACCAAAATCTATCGACCTACCTATTTCTTTTAAAGCAAATCCCAGATAACATTTATTTCATTTGTAAATAATTGTTTCTCTAATAGTCCTTTTAAAAAGTGTCATTTTTACACCTAGCAAATTAACCATTCTTTGATATTATGTAATAATTAGCCTACTTAATCTCCAAGATTTCCCCAGATTCTTTTTAGTTGAATTGTCTGACTTGATCCAAGTAATGTCTACACATTTTACTTGATTATTTTGTTTTTTATATCTCTCTTATTATCTCAGTATCTGATTCTACCATTACCATCACCATCCCTCTTTTTCATTTCATACTGATTGGCTGGAGACACTGTCTTATATTCTGGCTAATCAGTTTCTGTGGTATTATTTAATTTGTTCCTTTATGCACTAAATTTTTTTTTAACTAGCCTAGAGATCTGAGCATACTCAGGTTCAATTTTCTTAGGCAAGATTATATTTTGGGTGATATTATGTTACTTCCTATTACATTGTGACTGTAAATTCACAATTTGTTAATTTTTACTTGAAATAAGATTGAGCCAGTGTATAAATTATGTCAGTCGGATTTCTTATTATGATAAGTTTCTTATCAAGCTTCACTTAATTGTTTTAGTACTACTGATGATTAAAACCTATAGGTAGTAATCCACTAGTCATTATAAAATGATGATTTAATTTAGAATTCCTTTGACTTTTTTCTATTAAGAAAGAACTTTTCCTCCATTTATTTGATTGCTCTGAACTGCTCTGCAGCATTTAATTTGGTTCTTTCTCTTTATCAATGTTCAGGGTAATGAGCAGGCACTCTAGAAACTTTCAAAAGTAATCAATGAGGATTTCTTGAAAACATTATTACAAATCCTGTATTAAGCAAAGGGAACCCATCTCTCAAAAACCAAAAGCTATGAAATAAATTCATACCGCTTCTCTTTTAAGATTCATATTCATTTCTTCCATATTAGTATCTGCATGCCCATGTACCGATCTACCATGAATATAATACCCAAAGCATTTGTGGGATAACAGAAACACTGATATCTATAAAAACAAAAGGAAAAGGAGCCATTAACAACTCATTTGTAAAACAACTAAATTAAGTTTTTCTTAAAATTGCTTCTTTTCACTCAAACTAATGATGGTTGGGGATAATAAACAAGTAAGGGATAATGAGGTTATTTTGTAAAAGTGCGTAGAAAAGAGATTGAAGATAATTTCCAAGGAAGGAACACTTTAGGTTGATCTCTGAAAACTTTTCAGGCACTCTTGGCTGAGTGAACTATTTGGTGGCACAAAAAATTCATAATTAAGAAACTGAAAATAAAGAAGAAAAAAGTAAAGCAGTAAATATTAACTTGTAGCTCATTGTAACTATCTCTGGAGTTAACAACCAGGAGAAAATTAGACTGAAAATCCAATTATACCAAATCAATTTTAAAGCCTCTTTTAATGGGCACATGACCTTTAAAAAGGGAAAATAAGAGTTGTGAGATAGTCAGGAAATACTTACATTGCTCATACAGCATAAATCAACAAATTGCCGAATTTTATCTTCTATAAATCTCTCATAAAACACAGCAAAAAACATGATCTGAAACATTAAGCCAAGCACATGCGTATTAGCTTTAAGGATTTAATTTTCTTTTATAGCCACAGTGTAGAATCTTAAGGAAAAAAAGTTCCAACTAAGAATGCAGTGATCTCTACTGGTTCCAGTGGAATAAAATTCTACTTGTCATTCTTGACTCTAAGTCAAAGGAAGATGGATTTGGAATTCTGTTAAGATTCATTGAGGTATCCTATTTTGAATTTTTTTTTTTTTTTTAAGATTTATTTATTCGTACAGAACTGGGGTACAGGCCAGAGATGCGGAGGGGGAGAGGATTCACCATAAGACAGAGTGGGGTGCCGAACAGGCAGATCGACGAAGTACACTGCTGAGGGGATCAGCGGGCGGGTCAGGAGAGGTCTGCCGCGCCATGTGGTCACCTCCGGGGCAGGCGGGGATGGAACTCATGCGGAAATGGTTTAAGTTTCCTTGTGCTGTGCTTTAACCCGCTGTGCTACCAGGGTGGGCCTATTTTGAGTTTTAAACCTTTTTTATGTCATTAAAACAAGAAAGGATAAACATAGGGAGAAAAAAGTGACTTTAAACAATGAAAAATTTAGGATAAACCAGATTGATGTTTAATTCTACAATTCTGGCCATCTCATAAATCTCAAAGCCATGTCTTTCAAACCTGGTCTTCCTTAACCGGTGGCTCATAAAAAACATAGTAAGTATTCTATTTCAACTACAGATAATGTGATAAGAACTTATAGGTTATGGTTGCATATGTCTTCTTAGATTTAGTGACAATACCAATACCAATAAAGAGAAATCTTACAAATTACAAAAGTTTTCATTGTAGACCTTTCTGGATATGCTTCAGAGAAAGCTATCATTTCCTAACCAACCACTTTAAGGCTGTCCCCACGGTTCCTGCTGTTCCCTATTCCTACTTTCCACTCTCATCTCCACTTACTATCTTCTCTCTCTACGGATGCCCTTCACAGCAGCTGTCATAATTTTAATTTGTTCTTATTAAAGCATATCCCGCTTTTCAACACAGTGCATAGTATATAAAATGTACTCAACTGTGTAAATAAATAAAAGAAGCAACAGCAGCACTTTTAATGGCACTTATATCTGGTGACTGAAAAACATTATATGATCAGTCTACAGCAACCTTTATTTGGTCAACTATCAATGTGACATTTTCTAATAAAAATATAAGGAAAGGCAGTTTATCTTTGGATCTCTGTCCTTTTCCCCCCATTTTTCATTTTTTATGTTTATGGAGGTAATATTAGGTCACAATACTATATATGACATGGGGAGAGGTTCATACTTCCTCAGATGTTGCCACACCTCTCCCACCATCAAAGCCCTTACAGTCCTTTACAACAGACCACTGGCCAAGCCTCCCAACTGTGAGCTATCTCTACTGTAACAGCATCTGATTTCCAAGAACACTTTCCTAAACACTCAATAAACATATTTCTTAAGCCCTTTTAAAGAGCATGTAAAAGCATAATATTCAACTTTTTAGAATTAAAGGATTAAATTTAAAGTTGAAAAGGGTAGATAAATAAAAGGAGTAAACCATAAATTCTAACATTATGAAAAACAAGAAGAGTTTAGAAACAAACTTAATGGTACTACAGCAAGTTGTTTAAGGAGCCCTTAAAGGCACCTGAGGAATAATCACTAGAATCCTCAGAATATTTCCAGGGAGAGAAATACTCCTGTTCAGAATGAAAGTAAAAAGAAATGAAGGTGTTTAGGTGGTGCCGCTGGAGACCATCAGCTGTTGCCCCACCAATCCTTTCTCCTGGGGACAGACTGTTTCTTTGTGTGGGCACAAGGTTGTTCAGCTTAAAAGATGTCATTACTGCGAGGTGTGGCTGTGTGGCTAAGTTCTAGCCAAGGAGACAGTGAATAGCACTTCTTTAAGAAGTGCTCCTCTTTGAGAGCTTTTTCAGCCACTATGGAGTAGGAGGAGAACTTAGCATGGAACTACAGAGGCAGTTCAGAACAGGCTTCTGGGTCATGCCAGCCCTGCACTGTTGACTTTTTCTTTCTTTAAACTATATGACAGGAGGAATAAAGGTCACTTTTATTTGGCGCTGCTATTATGGTTGTTATACACAAGCAAATATGAAAGGCTTTGGCAGTATTCCTGTAAATTCTCTATATCCAGATGAATATGACCCATTCACAAAAATTTATACTGACAAGTGTAGAAAATAAAATATCCTCTGACCATTAAATTGATGACAAACATCAAACCCCACATTCTTTTGACTCCATCTTATCTCACATTCTAACTTTTGTCTTTTCTTCCTGATTGTCAAATTATCCCTTATTAGCTCCATCCCTATAGTTTTAAGTTTGAACAAGTCTCACTAATTAAAATAAGTGTATGTTTAAATAGTCTAAATTCTGGGGCATCTCCAGTGGTGCAGGGGCTAAGTGTCAACACCATGAAGCAAAACACAGCCATTGCAGCACGAGTTTGATCCCCAGCCCCAGAGCTAACCCACATGGCGCAGCAGACTTCTCCTGTCTCACTTGCTGCTCCCCTCAGCAGTGTATTTCAGTGGATCTGTTTATTCTGCTCCCCACTCTGTCTCTGGTGAATCCTCTCACCAACCCCACATCTCTGGCCTACATCCTAGCTTTTGTATGCATAATAAAAATAAATCTTAAAAAAAGTAAATTACAAAAAAAAAAAACCATAAAAGATGGTAAAAGAAGCAAGCATAGAAAGGAGCCTCCTTTGGAGTCACAGGACCTGAGACTAAGTAATTTATTTGAAGTTTCAGTTATTTCAATAAATACTTGCAATAAAATTTCACAAGTTACCTGCAATCTGAGTATGATTTAATGGCATCTAAATAAATATAAACAGAAGAAGAAAAGAATATTAAGGGCAGCTTAGCTATCACTGTAGGGGTGCGTGCGTGTGTGTGTGTGTGTGTGTGTACACGTATAAAGAGACCATTATATGACTAGAAAGCCAAAAAGTGAAAGACCCTTTAGAGCCCCACTATTGATCAGATAAACTCTGAAATCAAAGTACCTTGTTTCAAATTCCAGTTCTGCCAATCACTAATTGTATGAGTTTAGGTAATTATTTAATCTTTCTGCCCCTCAGGTCCTCATCTGTAAAATGAGTATACTAATAGAACCTAACTCCAAGGGCTACTATAAAAATTAAGTTAACATGTGAAATACAACTCATTAATACAGTGTATGGATTATAACACTATGTAAGATTTATTGTTGTTGTTCTTGTTCTTGTCACCTTTTTTCTGCAATAGAGATCAGGATGTGGAGAGTATTTGAGGACAATAAGTTGTAACCAGAGTTGTAGATATCCAAGAGCAATGTTGCTTAAAAGTAAAATCTCTTGTTACCTGCATAAATCCAATGGCTAACCAGAGAGCAGTAGATACTGCGTATCTCAGAATGCGGCTATATGGAGCTATATAGCTCACTGGGCTTCTGGAAAGACTGCTTGATGCGTCCATTAATGCTAAGTACTTGAAACCTACAACCTGGAGTAAGAGGAAAATGACAAAGTCTTAAAACAAACCAACCCTCCTTTAGACTGAAAATGAGACCGTTTTCCTACGCTTCACTTTGAAAAATCTAATAGTCAAGTGTGTATACACAGTAGGAAATCTAGATAAAAATAATTGTTTTTAGTTACAAAGTGTTTAGTTAGAGCATATGGTATTCTGTTTACATGACAAATATAACCTTAAGGTCATCTATATTAACAAAGCTCAAATATCTGTCAAAAGAGTAAAATTTTCTTTTGTATACTACCAACAACAAGTAGAATTCCTTCAACTTTTAAAAGAACAGGCACTATGCAAAACATGCTTTTATACTTGACTTCTAAAATGTCTTCTGAAGGAAGACATTCTTTTGATAAAAGAATATCATGATTAAGTTTGGTGTGAGTAGTACACTCATCTCCAATGCCTTCCACCCTTCTAGAATAAATTCTGACAAGTTTTACAGTAAAGAAAATCTACATGACTTTAGTGAATGCAGTGTTTTCTAAATTTTCTGCCTTGACTATAAAACTGCTTTTTGTGTAATACATTTTAGGTTTCTAGAAAACATTCTCTAGAGAACACTAAATTATTCAAATATTGTTCCTTTGTCCTAAGCCTCTGAAATATCATGTATATGCTGAAATATCACTTATATGTCTTCTTCTAGTTTCAAAAATAAGAGGAAAGGAAGAAAAAAAGGAAAAAGAAAGGCAAACAAACATAACAGTTAATAATTCATATGTAACTTATTTAAGAAGTTAATTTCTGAGAACACATGATTCATAGAAACAGTTTCCACTGTTCTAAGGTGGTAGGGGAGTGAGAATTATTTAATGGATGCAGATTTTGGTTTTACAAGATAGAATTCTAAAGACACAGTTAATAATGTGAATGTACTTAACACTACTGATCAGTATACTGGAAATGGTTAGAATGGTAAATTTTATGGCACATGTTTTTAAAAAGTCATTCCTTTTTAGTGATTTGGTAACAGTATTTTACTTACAGAAAACTCTTCCACTGACATGCAAACTTAGCTGGAATATTTAAATTAACATTTAGGAGGTACCCCAAAACTTCATAATGATGTCAAACAGTTCATACCTCCAAGAGGAAGAGGACAGTAAGTACTTGAAAGAGTGGATTGATTTTTCTCACAGTCTGAATTTCATTCCATTCCTTTGCTACAAAATAAGTTCTCCATATACTTACAGGAACGGTAGCACTTCGAACACCACCCTCACCTGGTCAAAGAGATAAAGTGAGTAAAAGGGTCTTCGCTCCCAAGGGTAGGAAAAAATTTTGATAAAATGGATATTTCAGTTACCTTCAACAGCTTTAAGAACTTTTCCTTTAGGTCGTTCCCAGTCAATAAAGAATATATCAATGGTAATTTGGGATATGAGTTTATGCAAATATTGCAGAGCCTGCAAATGACAGACAAAATACCAAAAAGTATCCACAGTAGTCTGTTTGCAAAACCAAACAAACATCTCGAATATGTAATTTTCACAGATGTTAAATGAAGTTACAATATTGGAAGTCATCAAATAACCTGGAAACAACAAATTCACAGAATTTTCATACATACGCTCATTTACCTTTCCTTCTTTCATCTTTAACATAGGGATATTAAAAGGGAGACACATTCGACCTCAAACAGGGATCCTGCATAATCCACTCTTTCCCAAGGTTTCCAAAAGCATACTTTGGTCTTTAGACTGCCTGACTTCTTTATAAGTCAAGATGCTTTTCAACTGTAATTTGCTTGTCCTAATTAAAGTTTCATGATAGTCTTGTCTTTTTCTCTTTCTGATATTAAACAAAAAGTGTTGCTGAAATACATCTTTTTCATTTACAGAAGTATTGGTAGTATATTTAAACTAAGGCACTCTTCCTGGATACATTATTGATCATGGGATAAAACTTTCATACAGACTGATTCTTCTCTGCAAGGAGCTCACAGGTCAGTGACAATATAATTATCATCGTAATACAGTGGGATGAGATCTACCACAAAATGTAAAGAGCTTCATATACATTGACAGAACCAGGAGGAGGGAAAGGTATTTCCATAAAAAGGAAAGACATATGAAGGTCAGAAAAATCTCTTTTAAAATTTCAGCACATTATCTAAGATGATACCTTTAACTTCAATAATAGACAAAATTCATGCCTGATGATAGTTTGTCACATTGTGAACATGTCATCAGATTTTAAGGAAAAATGTTTATCAAATTACCTATACTTCATGCTAATTCAAACATATTTATGCTTAAGAAAAATATTTAAGTAGATTTTCTGAATGAGCTCTATTATAATAAAAGTACACTTTCTATGTAAAATAGAAAATTCAAACTTCCCTCAAAATTAAGCTAAATTATACACCAAAGATTTTGAAAACATTTGAATGATGTAACAAGTTTATTAACATGTCTTTGAAATTCAATAACCTGTCTTTTGAAACATACCTTCAGAGCAAAAGCACATCCCACATAAGTAACAAAACGTTCTTCCTGAAATGGCATTGGTAGAAAAACAGAGACAGACTTCTGTGCCTATGATAAAAATTACACCATTAAAAATGATCACACCAGGTTTCCAATAAGCCCAATTTATAAGCAAAAGAAAACATAAGAGGGAAGCTTGTTATGCACTAAATAAACATAGCATAATGGGGAATGGTGAGTTTAGCACCCACCTCAATACTTTTGATAAGAAATATACCTAAATCAAGAGTTCCTTTATTAAGAGAGCTTACCAGATATTCAGATATTGGCATTTAGGTTATAGTTATAAACTCACTTTGAAGAAAATCAGCCAATAAAGTCCTGTTCCCACTGTGATGATGAAGAAAACATTAGCCAGATCACCAGCATAATATATCAAGAATTTCAAAACTGTCTGCAATTTAAAAGAGAGTAACAGCTATTACAGATGCAACCTATTTATACTGTCACTTTTAATAATTTATTATCTATCTAGTTTCCCAGACGTGAAGCCTTGTTTCATGGAGCCATGAATCAGGGAGAAAGACTGTGGCTTCTTCCGAGATCAGCATTTGGATTCCTACCTTTTGGTCCATTTCCAATAGCTTTCTTATTCAATCTTCTCACTTTTTGCCATCTAAGAAAGTTAGACTGCATCCTAATCTTCTCCTACGTTAGAACCTTTAACCCCAATCTATTCTCTCTACTATCAACAGAGTTAGCTTTCTAAAATGTAAATAAGATTTGAGTCACATCCTTTTTTAAAAACGGAGGGTGAATCCTCACTAAAATGTAAACTTCCACAACCTAGATCAAAAGTGGCTTTTACCCTCATTTGCCAGTTCCAACTACTTATTCAGTAACCACTCTACAGCTTCAATTATTTTGTGGAATGAAATGGACATTGTTTCATCAAATGTTTTCCCCTTCACTCTGACAAACCCTGGTGAGCTCAGAGGGCAGAGAACATGTCTGTCTTTGTTCACAAGCAGAACTCCCAGCAGCCCATAGATGCTGGCACTGAGCCAGAAGGCCCTCACTGACTTTGTGGAGTGCACTGATAATCCAACATAAAGTTCACATCTCTCGCATCTCAGTAAGTGTTTCTTCACTATCCCAGACAGTAAGTCAAGCCCCCCTCCTCCGATTCCTTCGGCTTTAGACTCACCAAGTTATCCTGGCACAACCAAGTCACTTGGTGGCCTTTAAGAGCAAAACGGAAGAACCATCTCTATTACTGAATAGTTAAATAAGTAGAAAATTTAGTTAACCTTTACAATTTCATCATGTGTAAAATGGGAATGATAAAAAATACCTAACTTCATAGAAATATTGTGAGGATTAAACAAATTGTACAAGTAAAGATATAAGAAGTACCTGGGACATTCTAAATAATCAAAAAAATAGTAGATGTACATGTACAGATTAAAGGAGAAGCAAAACTATTAAATGAGAAGTTAATAGAAGAAAACGTCAAAAATAAAAATTTTTATATTTCCTGTTCAAGAAAAGAACATGTAGGTAAAATAACAGACAGATTACACTTAAGATATTTCAATGTTGAAAATCCAAAGGCTATTTAAATTTTGAAAAAACAAAATAGACCTGGAAATAACAAGAGAAACTGGGAACCTAAGAGAAATGTAAGTAAAGGATATAAACAGAACTCACAGGAAACACAAATGATTTCAAAGCATATGAAGAATTATCAGAGAAACAAACAAACAAACAAAATCAAGAAACACATAGCACTTATACCAAAAGCCTGGCATGAAATTGGAAAGACTGGGAAAGTCAGGTGTTGGTATAGATATGTGGAAATGACTCCTGTGGGCGGTGGTGCAGACTGGCACACAGTGTGGGAGGCAAATGAGCATTGCCTATTCCTTTCCCAATAGTATACATCGGAAAAACTCAAGGAAAGTTCTTACTCCTCCTCTAGCTGTGTTTTGCTGGAAGGAAGTAAAGTAGGTCAAAATAACGGCATACTTTAAAAACCCCTGAGAGCATACCTGTAGATCAATCAAAGGACTCCCAATGCGCCTCTTCCACCCTGCTGTCCTCAAAAGAGATGATAAAACAGCTAGCCCACCTAGCACCCCCAAAGCAATCTGAGGAGAAAAAAAAAAAAGAGAGCACTTTGAATATATGTACCTTCCCTTACTCATTCATGTCAAAAAATACTGTAAAGAGACAATACTCAAAAAATGGCAAAGGGTCTGTTTAAAGCCCACAGGAGCCAAGCTAACAGAACTCCCAGTGGCCAGATATGGGACAACTTGAATAACAAAATAAATACTAGTGGGTTATAATTGCTGAATAAAGTAAATATCCACAAGTTCATATTGATTTTAAAAAAATGAATAAATAAATGTGGGCAAAGGGACAGTTCCTCTTTAAAATTTTAATGACAAATACAGAAGATGGAAATGGAAAATCACCAAGTAAATATCATAGTGATCATTTCTATAGGCAAGAATCATTAATGCAGGTTAAAAGTTAGAGGGCAGGGCCCTCCCTGGTGGCGCAGCGGGTTAAAGCACTGCAATGAGAAGCTAAAGCCATTTCCGCATGAGTTCGATTCCCGCCTGCCCTGGAGGTGAAAACATGGCGTGGCAGACCTCTCCTGACCCGCCCACTGCTCCCCTCAGCAGTGTACTTTGTAAATCTGCCTGTTCTGCTCCCCACTCTGTCTCTGGTGAAGCCTCTCACCACCCCTGAGGCTCTGGCCTGTACCCCAGTTCTGTATGTACAAATAAATAAATCTTTAAAAAAAAAAAAAAAGTTAGAGGGCAAAAGAAAAATGAGAAAGAGGATAGTTGTATATTCTTAAAATGTCTGCCTACAAGATTCTTATTAATTATAAATGGAGAATAAAATGGCAAATTCTGCAGACACCATCTTAGCTGTATGACCTGTATAAGATCACCAAATATGATGTATATTGCCATCCAATACCTTCTAATATGCTGTACTGAGAAGGTCCCAGAGACCACCATTTCTGTGGCCTTTGCACTAAAATTATATCTAGTCTTAGGTATCTATCACTGAGGGTCAAAGTAATCAACAAGTATTCTTCAAAAGTATTAGGTTCTGAAAGACTATAACAGACCAAGGAACTTTCACAAATCAAAGGAGACTTGGAGACAGAATAACTAAAAATAATATGCAATCCCAGTCTGGACCCTGAAATGGAAAAATGATGGTTAAAACACTTGTGAAGTTTAAAAGAATACCCAGATTAAGTAACAGCACTATCTCAGTATTAATTTTCTGGCTATGATTACTGTCCTCCGGTTATGTGAGATGCTAACTTTAGGGAAGGCTGGGTTGTGGGTGTATAGCAAAGCTTTTCATTTTGACAATTTTCCTGTACATCTAATAAAACCATTTTAATTGAAATATATACTGTAAAAATTTAACAGGTAAAACTTACATCTGTCTGGACAAACGCTTCTCTTTGGTTCATTTCATATTTGACTGAGAAAGAAACCTGATAGTTAAAAGAACAAATTAGCCATAATGAGATTAAATAACACAAACCTACTTTTCTATTACAAAAACATTTATAGTAAGGTAAAGATTAAGAATTATACTTTTAATAATGATCTTAAAATTGTATATGCAGATGCTCATTTACAATAACACATATGTAAATTTATATAATGTTATCATGCACTATTACTTCAATAACAGATTTTGGAAAAAATACATTTGCATCTGGATTTGATCATAAACATCATATTTTCAAAACTATCAACTATGTCAATATAGCTGACACTTATTTAAATGAGTTTAATTGCCTGGGGAAGCAGGAGACAGCCTACCTGGCAGCAGGACCAAACTGAATTCTCTAGTTTACTTTAGTGCTACTAGTAAGTAAAGCTGAATCTCTTTTTGCCTACTGAAGTGTTTGCTTATCAAGCAGGTAGGCTGGTGAGATGAAAATACACATGCCTACACAAAATGAGAGCTCCTAGTTCAATTAGGCCAGAAGACAAAATCCTAATAGAAGCCAGACGGCCAAAGAGAGAAGAAATTAGACGCTGGGCACCCCAGAATCCTAAGTAGAGATGACCAAGTGCTGTGGATGCTGTCACTGAAAAACTTAAATTCTTGCTTCTCTACACTTAGGATTCTTGCCACTATCAGTTAAAAAAATAGTCCAGATTTGACTATATAAAGGAGAGTTTACTTTAAATTTGAAAAAGGACTGTGCTTTGACCATAATGTAACTTGCATTGTATTATAGTGTTACATAGGGACTCTGAGTAGTAAAAAACTCACCTTCACAGACTGGCTGTCAGGATCCTTAATATCAATATCACTATAGGAAATGGTTAGTAAAGGAGGGTAGATGTTTCCACTTTTTGTGTTTGGTACAAGGTGGATGCTATTTAGGAGAAAATACATTTCTAGTTACGAAGATATCTAGTCCTTAAAAATACACTTAACTTAGGGCCCTCCCTGGTGGCGCAGCTGATTAAAGTCCAGCACTAAGAAGCTAACGTTACTTCAGCATGAGTTCGATCCCTGCCCTGGAGGTGACCCACATGGCATGGCAGACCTTCCCTGACCCGCCTGCTGCTCCCCTCAGCAGTGCACTTCATCAATCTGCCTGTTCTGCCCCCTACTCTGTCTCTGGTGAATCCTCCCACCACCCCTGCACCTCTGGCCTGTACCCCAGTTCTATATGCATAAATAAATTCCTAAAAAAAAACCAACTTACTAATTTATTTTGAATTTAAATGTATAGTCTTGGTAACTTCAGGACCAAATGATTAATAAGAACATCTGTTAGAGAAGTTGAAATCTAATCTAATGGTCCCAACACAAACTATCTTAAATGAGCTTTAGATTTGGTTTATAATCTAGAAAAATTTCGTGCTATTCCAGTCCAAATGTCCTTACTGTTTTCATCTGATACTAGCAAAACCTTTCTATATGAAATGGTTTCACAGTTACACAGTGCATTAGAAGTTTGTTTACCTCAGTGATATTTGGGTCGCAACTCGAATTACTCTTGGCCGACTTCCTAAGTCATTTTGTCGTCCACTTAGGGCATCCACTAAGAAAATGCGTCGAGTCAGAAGCCATTTGTCAGAATTACTGTCTTTTATGTTAAAAGAAAAAAAAAGACATTAAAAAATCTTCAAATTGCTCAAGATAGCTCTCAAGAAGTATACTGAGTAAATCTGAAACACAAAACTAAACTATCTGTTTTCATATAATTGCAAAAATAGCCATGGAATATAAAAAAATCCTGGTAGTAGCCTTCTCCACCTCACTTTAATGTCTTCTGAGTCTTGGATATTCCATCAACTTGAAAGACTTTTCCTGTGAGTTTCCTTGAAAAAATAGGTTTTAAAATATGGGAAACAAAAGCAGCTAATTTTTATAAAAAGCAGCTCAAGGACAGTTTAAAGAAGCTTTAATTTATAGCTGTATTAGTATTCCTCAGGATACCTTTAGCAATAATATAATTTCTTAACAATAAGCTCCACACATTCAGGAAAAAGGTTAAAATCTATGTCAGCAATCTTACTGTTTTGCTTTGCGGTCTGCTACAAAAAAACCACAGGGGAGAGAACTCAGACCTTTCTTATAATCCATTGTTATTAAATAGACACGGTTACTTGTTTATTGGTTTGAGATCAGAGAAGGGTGGTATGTATAGATGTCTTACCTTGGTTCACAAATACGTGACTACGTTGAAGCTTTAGATTTAATACAGGCACAGCCCAAATATATTGTTGTTGATTTTCATTAGTGTATTCAAAGTACACATCATAAAATATAGGAGTGGGAAAGTCAGTTAAGATCTTAGAGATAGAAATTTCACACTGGAAAATAAAATTAAAAAGAAAAGCAACTCAGTTGAAAATATGAATATGTATTATCTTTAAAGGAATGCTTTAAAAATCCTGTAGGCAAAATACCTTTAAACTAACTTATTTATATGCATTTGCACATGGTTTCCAAAATACTGTTATAATATTGCCTGGTTCTTCTACAACTCAGCTGAGGAGAATATGCCTTCATTCCCAAATTAAGGGTACAATGGAGTGCTTTAAAATGTCCCTGTCCTGGCCCTCCCTGGTGGCGCAGCGGGTTAAAGCACTGCACTGAGAATCTAAAGCCACTTCCGCATGAGTTTGATTCCCGCCTGCCCGGGAGGAGACCACATGGCGTGGCAGACCTCTCCTGACCCGCCTGCTGCTCCCCTCAGCAGTGTACTTCGTCGATCTGCCTGTTCTGTTCCCCGCTCTGTCTCTGGTGAAGCCTCTCACCACCCCTGAGCCTCTGGCCTGTACACCAGTTCTGTATGTACAAATAAATAAATCTTTAAAAAAAAAAAAATGTCCCTGTCCTAAGGGATGAGGTCTTACTTCTTTCTCCTGAGGTACAAAACTGTCTATGAGATGGTTGTCCCAAGAGCCAGATTTATTGCCCACCCCACTCTCCCAGTCTTTGGTCCATTCATGCTAATCTACTAGAAGTGCTGAAATATGATGCACTAGTCTGTCTCTTTGACATGGCAAATGTTGTCACTGCCTGACATTCTCTTCTGTGTTCTCCCAGAAAACATGTTCTCATTCTAGAAATTCAAGTCACACTATTCCTATGAAACCTTTCTATATTGCTTCTCCCCCTCAAAATTACTGATGGTCTGTCCTTTGTAGACATATATACCTGAAGAACAACATCATATTCTTAGCAGTTTATTTCTATCTAGTTGTTTTCTCTACTAAACTGTGAACTACTTGAGAGACAACCAGGTTTAATGGAAAAAAACTGTATTTCTGAAACCTAGGAGAACACTGGCTTAAGCAAATAATTTCAATGAGTAAATATCTTCATCTAAAGCACAGATAATATGTATCTCACATAGGGATTTCATGAATCAGATATGGTAATGTGATAGAATGCTGACATTTTATCACAACACCAGGCAATTAACAAATGTTGATTCCCATAAACAAGATAGGCAAAAAAAATAACATTTTTTTTTCAAAATAACACATAAATTGTTTCTGATTATAAAAGTAAACTTATGTTCATGATAGAATTTTGAAAATGTAAGAAAAAAAAACATCTATAATCCCACCATCCAAAGCTAATCATATACATGTGCTTTCTTCTAATCTGTTTTCTATGATGCCATTTTTTGTGTGATTTTAACAAAGCTGAAATCACAGTTTTGTTCTCTCATGTGTATATGTATTTTATCAAGAAGCATTTTTGCAAGGTTGTAAATGTCTTTCAGACATTTAATTTAATGGCTCATAATATTCCTTTGTACCACTCTGTGATTTTAAAATGTGTTACCAACAGACAGAGAGGTTCAGGGTGAGGAAGGAGGGAAACATGGAGGCAGAGAGGAAAGCACAGAGGGAGAGAAAAAGAAGCATTTTTATTTATTAATGGGAAGAAAAAGGAATGAGTAACATTTTTATTAGTCACTAAAAATAAATATTTTTACTTTATCCCAAAATGTGCAGAAGTAGATATTATATTTTAGACTACACTTAGAAGGAGCTAAATAATTATGGAAATCTAACATATGTTTTAGACTCTAAAGAAAATTCCTCTCTTCTTGTTGATTAAATTATGTCTTTCTATGCGCAGATAAAAAAACTATAGCAGTCAGTATAATTAATCATTCATTACTACTGAAAAATCTCCAATTTTGAAAACAGAATGATTACCCTAGTTATCACTGATATGAAAACTGAAGCTAAAATATAGACTGTCTTAAAGCAGCTCAAACTTACATTTTGTTGATAAGTTGTTCCAAAAGAATAAGCAGCATTTAGTCTTGTCTCTGTATCTGGACATAGCTACAGCAAAAGAACACAACTTTTATAAAAAATAAATATCTTTTGGCCCTCCCTGGTGGTGCAATGGGTTAGGACGCAGCACTGCAAGCTAGCCGCAGCCGCTTCAGTGAGAATTCGATCCCTGGCTGGGGAGGTGACCCACATGGCACAGAAGATCTCTCCTGTCTCGTTCGCTGCTCCCCTCAGCAGTGTATTTCTGATCTGCCTGTTCTGTTCCCCACTGTCTCTGGTGAATCCTCTCAACGCCCATGTACATAAGTTCTGTATGTATACATAAATAAATCTTTATAAAAAAAATAAATGTTTTTTTATAAAGGTTTTCTTTGCTTATAATCAAGATTTCTCAAGTTCCAACAGGGACACGTGCTTTATAGAATACTTAGTTAATGCATCAAAGGTGACATTCAGGACACCTCTGTTATAAAGTCATAACTCCAAGTAGCTTTAAGAAATTTCAATTCAAAACACAAGAAAAAAAATCAAATGTAGCACAACTTTGGTTCTCTATTTAAATAATAATCTGGTCTTCTTCATCACTGCCTCAGGGCAGTTATTAATTCTTTAACTAGAATTATACTCACCTGTAAAACACCACCTTCTAAAGTTTGCCACTTGAGAAAATGTCCTCTTACATCATAGGAAGCAGCAACAAACTTCAGTTTTGTGTTCTGATTAAAGAAAAACAAGAATAAAATGTCAAACACATTGAAAGCAATAAGCTGCTGATTGATCATTATTTTTTCCAGAGATCAAATATTAAATTCAACTATTTTATATTTGAAGCAAAATGAAACAAAGCATCTCTACTATTAAATATACCTAAAAAAAAAAAAAATGGACTGGTGTTTTTGTACAAAAACAACTTTTAATTCAGAATTGAGGCAGCACTACTGACAGGTAACTTCCTTTCAAACTTATTAAATGTAGAGGTGGGGGTATCAGGTCAAAATCTTGGCAGTGAGAATTTGCTAGAGAAGTGGCTTAGAGCCCCAACCAATCTTACAAAGCACTTGTTAAAAATGCAGAGATGCAGAAAGACAGAGGTAGTTTTGCATTTGGTGATGAAAACCACTGTTCCCAACCCCACAAGCACTACTTGTGCCATAACTGCATAATCCAGAGGTATCCATATACTCAAGATAGCTAACTTCCATATCATTAGTTCCTATGGCAGCCCATCTTTAGATCCAGTTTAGCAATACCATGTTTAAAAACAAACAAAAAAAATGGACTTAACAAATAGTAACATTCGTATTACTGTTTTTATAGATAATTCAAAATGTATCTATCCTTTAAAAATAATAGTGACTTGTAAAAATAAACTTTTATATTATTAAAAAATATAATAGTGACTTGTACCTGGTTTTCCCCTTTAAAACTGAAATTTGTTGGAAAAGGTATGGTACTGAGTACTTGAGGTGCTAATCCTACTTGGTCTCCATAGGATAGCCATGGAAGAGTCTGTCTCCTATAAACAATTATAATCGTTTTAATAACAGGGAGACAATATACTTTTATTATTAACATTTGTGAAATATTTGGTCCAAATTCTGATTCATCAATCAAAATATCCTTACCAAAATGAAATAGAGTACATAGTATGTAATCCAGCAGTATTTTCAAAGATATAGTGAAATAGCTGACATGCATCGAAAGTGTTAGGGTCATAAGAGTTCATATTCATCACACACATATTTCCAAGAGCTTGGCAAGATGTTAGATTGGCATACACCTATGAGATAACATTGGCAAAGAAAAGTAATATAGACTTCAATATCTTAAGATGATATTTATGTATTAATTATGCTTGTTTTTAATTTTACCTATTAGACAAATTCTTTTTCTGTGCATTTTTTTACTTTTTAAAAATATCTTTTTTCTTAAGTAGAAAACAACTTTCACCATGACAGATAATGTGTACAATTTAATTGTAAATTTTAAGCAAAAATATGAAGACGAGCTATTGAAATAAATTTAAAGCATGACATTTAAAATTACTGGTAAGCAGAACAATTGTATTTGAAAGAATAATGATGTTTGTGTAAGAGCTTATGCATATAAATTTAACCCATTTTGTATGATTTAAGTAATTGTTTTTTGAACAGCAAAATAAGATCATTTGTTGAGATTGCCCCACAAACTTCTTTGTCAGTTTCCCCATCAAGAAAAGGCAACTCCATTTTTAGTTATTCCAGTCAACAACATTGCAGTGATCTTTGTTTCCTTCCTTCAAATATCCAACTCATCAGTAAATCTCGTTGGCTCATTCTTTAAAAACCGTCTCATTTCCATGGTATTACCCTGTGCATGGGTCCACTATCTCTCACTGAGATTACTGAAATACTTTCCTCCCTAACTGGTCTTTGCTTCTGTCCTTTATCCAATAACATCTAATCTTCATGCCAGTGATCCTTTCAAAATGTTAAGTTTGATTATATCTTTCTGTGCACAAAAATCCCTCTATTTCCCTTACGCCAAACTCCAAGTCCTTGTGTACCCACACCTGTCACCCTAAATTCATCTCTCCACTTTCCCTTCTCACTCTGCTCCAACGATCCCAGCCCCTTTCCTTTTTCCTAATAGTGAGCATGCCAGAAGACTCTTGCATTCATCACGGGCTTTGCTTAGAAGACTCTTCCCTACATATTGACATGGCTCTCTCTTACTTCCTGCAAGTCTTTGCTCAAATCCCATCCTCTGAGAGATGCTTGTCTTGCCCATCCTAACATGAACTAGCACCCTCTTTTACTTTCTATACTCTTCACCCTGATATGCTGTCACAGCACATAACACTACTTGACACTTAATCAGAATATAATTCCACGAGGGACTTAAATTTTCTTTCCTGAAATATATAATATGATTAGATGTTAACAGGGTCTGGTCCACTGTAGTCCATCAATAAACTTAATATGAATCAGTTTCTCTTCCCACTCAATTTGAGTTGAATCAACTTAGACATATTTGAAAATTGAAATAAATGACTTTTTCTAATATATTTTCTCTTTTAGTCTACCAGAAAGTATTGTATTTTCTTATAGAGTGTGACAATGAGATGCATCTACATAGAAAAATTCCATTATTTTGAGAAAAATGGTGCTACAATTCTTCAAAATGAAATAAAATTATTTTCCAAAATGTCAAACTTACCCAACAAGCAGTTGCTGATGATTGCAAATACTTTGTGAACCATTCTGAAGTGAAAGACATGCCCTGTAAACAAAAAGATGAATTTTAGTTTTATGTCCACTACACTACAAGGAAGACATCACCACATATATTATTGAATGGAAAATGACTATATCCTTGATGTCAGAAAAATAATTCTAAATGTAAGAATGTAATATGGAATGTATGAATTCATTCTTACCAATGTCAGTTACTACAAACAACACTCCATTACAAAGTCATGTCACTTAGGCAAAAGACATGGGAGATAAAGTATGGCTATAACCCAAAAAACTATCACGCCAATTTCAAGTATACAAAAAACAATGTGGGGATTCAGCAATATAGAGGCAGAGTAAAGACACTGGGCTCGTTTCTTCTACATACTCACAACCAAATTACAATAATAATATAAAACCCCCAGAATTCCTAAATTATAAACAGATGACCAGTGGAAACAGTGGAAAGGGGTAGAAAATGATTCAACCATGCTTACAGTGAACCCAGCACAGCACAGTGACATGGACAGAACCCCTCTGCTGTTAACAAACAGTGTATCTACACCCACTGTGGGGCTTTAAAAGCCAAGCACACCAGTGAGGAAAAGGGGTGTACAGAGTGGTGCATGAGACCAGTGGGTGATCAAAAACAAGATAATCAACAGTTGAGAAAATATGAAGCAAGAACTAATCTAAATAATACTATAACTGAATTTAAAAAATACAGTAGAGGGCTACATCAGTTGGTAATGCAAGTAATGGAGAAAATTAGTGGCCTTGAAAGCACAGAGGTAGAGAACACACAAGTAGTACAATAAAGAGAAAAAAAGAAAACTGTTAGTCTTTGAGGCAACCTAAAAAGATGTAATATCTATGTAGTGGGGTTGCAGAAGGAAAAAGGTACAGAAAATTTATTTAAAGAAATAATGCTGTGAACCATCTTAATCTGGGAGATGAATCAGACATCCTGATCCAAATGGCCCAAAGAGTAACAAACAAAATAATACCAGACCAATATACATTAGAATTGCCCAGTGAAAGCCAATAACCAGGTTGGAATATTATAAGCATTTGTAGGATATGTAAAGAGCTTTCTGACCTAAACAATCTCAGATTCACTGAAAAAGAATGAGGTACAGTAGTGAAGAAAGTAACTATTATCATGCTTATTTATTTGTGCATCTATTGTTTTTAGGTTAATAACTTCTACTTTAATGTGACATACATTAATATTTCTCACTTTACACCCAAATTAATTAGAAAAAATAGAAATGCAAAAAAAAAAAATGGAACAAATAATTCATACTTACAAGCTCTCCATAACGGGCAGTTGAAATCATACGTGGAGGAAAATTCACTGTGTTGCTGAAACATAATCCTCCTGTCTTCACAAATAAAAAGGAACACAAAAGTTTATGGAACGGTATAGGCAATTCAAGTTTAAAATATATAATATTTAATAATTTAACAATTTGATTAAATTATAATAATTTGATTCGGCTTACTAAAATGTTAGGTTTCAGACATGTACAGGACCTGCTGGTATTAATGAATGTTGGTTCACATCGGACGCACCTGTCAACATAACAAAAAAAAAATTGCAAGTGTTAATGAATAATACAAAACCTATTTACTTGAGAACATAATCTTCCTAAACACTGGGTTAGAACAGATTCATTTAGTTAAGTAATTAAAAATATAGACAAAGCCAACATGTCAACACTGATTTGAATACCTTTTTACCACTCTTTGCATTGCAAGGCAAGGTGTAAATGCATCGTATAAATCAGTAATGAGAGCATTCTTTTAAAACTACATAAAATGTATAAAATAAGTAATAATGAATAGCAAAAAAAAATGGTTAAGTTACTCAGTTAAAACTCATAAATGATATCCAATGATTTTTATCAGTAGTTATATCACATATACTTTTATTTCGTCTGCTGCAAAGTAAAAAGGTAACAAACTAAAAGATAAATACATCTACTTCTTTAACAAACGTTTTAAAGTGAGTTAATCATCTTTGTTTATATTAGGAAATATACTTTTCACTAACAGCTGATAGAGAGTGGGGGGAACCCTGAACTAGTGGAAATATGGGCTTACATGAGAATTCATTACTTGCCAGATAGAGCTGGTAACACAAACCAAGTCAGCTTGAGAGAAAAAATGAGTGCTAAGTAACCTCAGGAGAAGCTGATCAAGTATTTGTTCTCTTAAATTTGGGAATTGAAGAGAAAATTACATTTGGAAGGAAGTAATCATTTGAACTGAAGAAGTTCAAATAGGGATAATGTGTTTGAGTTAGAGAGAGGGCTGCTGTGTGCTGTATGTTCACATATGTATACCTACAGGGAGAAGGGGAAGTAACAGAGAACAGGGCTATATGTCAGGTTTCCTGGATTATTACAATTATCATTGTATTTGCTGAGGTGCTTTTCAATGTAATAACATATGAAGGCCAGTACCTGGGACACAGAAAGCATGTTGTAAATAGAAATTATTACTATTATATACTACATATTACATTATAGATTTGTACAAATTACATAATAAACAAAAATAGCTACATTTCATTGAGCACTTACTATGGACATAATAAAACATGAAGTAGATGGATGGTTTATTCCCATTCTAATGACATGGATACTATATTTACGGGGTTAATAATGGAAACTATTCACCGTCAAACAACTGACGAAGACTGAGATAAGATTTGAATCCTATTCTGTCTCTTTCTATAGGTCTCAACTTTACATGTTAATGTTCAATTTCATCCTTCTTTTGTAAACTAGCAAATGACATGATAGGAACGTTCTTTAAAAAGATACAGATTCTACATAATTAGAAGGTGACAATCAGGAAGATGACTGCACACTGCTTACCTGTTTTCTAAAGCATTTGCTATAGTAAAAGAATTTTCAGCACACAGCTTACAAGTTGCATGAGAGAACAATGTTCCATTAGTATCTCTTTCCACTATACAATTTAAAAACAAAATTGATTAGTTAACATATGAGCTTCTATATACTTAGTGAAATCCACTTATACTTACTATCTTAAGAACAGAACACTTTATTTTCATAAAAGGCATGTCAAGCACCTCCATAACAAAGTACAGAAAAGTAAAGCCCAATCCTACATAAAAAAGCAGAGAAATTAATTTTCCAAATCATTATGATAAGAAAGTGGTATTTTTCCTCAAAAATTTTATTTCTTACCTGCATGTTCTATTTAAACTGGGTATGAAGAAACAAGTATGTTCATGGACTACAGGTAAGTTGCTGTAACTTAAGAGGGCTCTTGATAGTACCTATTAAAATTTTAGGTTTACAACACTACAATTTCATGTTTAGATAACTAACCTATAAGAGTACTTGCACATGTGTATAAGAATAGTCATGGAAGCATATGTTAACAAAATGGTGGTATAACAATGCTATGAAATACTCTAGTGTGGGTTAAAAAGAATGTGGTAATCTAACAGATTACATTGTAATTAAAAAACCTATGATATAGAACAACATCTTTGGTATGAATCATTTATATGTTAATACCACTATATTTTCTGTGGCTACAAAGAATATTTGTATATTAAAAACAAAAGAAAGAAGATTCTAGGACACAGTCACATACCAAAATGATAATTACTAGGTGGTTGAAGGAATAACAGAAGATCAACACTGGAAAAATAGTCAAAGACTATTATCCCCAATCTATAATGTTTCCATGTTTTATTCTTAACATTTTAAGTTTTTGCAAAGTGGTAAAAATATAAACTTAACAAAAGCAAAGTAAAATATTGCTTCCTCCTATAGCCATCTCCTGTCTCAGTAAATGGCGACACCGTTTGACCATGGACTCAGGTCCCAGTACTTAGTCTCCACTTTTTTCCCATTCTTCACATTTAAAATATACATGCAAATACACAACTCTAATCAGCTCTCCTTTTAATAAATTCCCAGAAAATGAAGCATTCCTCTACTTGCACAACACATATGAAAATTCAACATTACTACTTCATAAAAAATCTAATTACCTAAAATATGGCCAGTGGGACAACGGCATTTTCCTTCTCCAGTTAAACCATGAGGGCAAGTAATGCAGTTCCAGCCATCTTCAGTAACACCATTCTAAACCAAGAAAAAAATTATTTTATCCTTCTTAATTTTTCCTTTCAAAATTAATCATGTATACAAAAAATGTCACGATACTATCATTTGCAGTTGATAAACTGTATACAAATTAAAAAATTTTTTTCTTGGATGCTGAACTATGTTTATATTCCAAAAATGTAAGCTATACATGAATACTATGTACTACTATTACCTCTGGGCAATAGTTTTTCTTTGTGATTTTAAGTTCATATAAGTCCTTATTTTCATAATTACTATTGCCATACAGCTTTTCCATTTACAAAAGCAAAACTGAAAAGAATTTAACCTATTGTCAATTAATAGTTTAGTCTTTTTTTTTCTAAAATAACTACTGCACCTTAAAAAAGTTAAAATACATTAGCTTTAAAAAATTTATGATTCAAAATCAGTTCTCATGACATATATAAGCTACATGTAAATAGTTATTAAAATAAAATTATAAGGATATTTCACTAGCTACTAATAGTTTATAGTAAAAGTTTCTGTAAAATATAACAATTATTCAAAACTGGGCTTTTTATATTATATGGGTTAGGAAAAACCTGGCATAAAAATATAGCAAGTATATTACAAAAATCGATGTAACCAAAATTAGTGGAGAACAATGATAATAAGAAAACAATGCAAATTATTTTAAATTTTGGTTGAAAAGACTATGAAGAAATACTCCCATATGTGACAGTCTATTTTTATGAGGTTATTTTAAAATTATGATAGTTTAATTACATCTCTGAGAAATAAATCTGCTTTGCTACATTTCATATTACCTGCTCTTTATCACAGGTAATTCAGCCAAGGTCAATATTCCCAAAAATATAAAATGAGTGTCATCACACCTCTATGTCCTAGCCATAAGTTAGGATAACTGATAACTTAATATTAAATTTTCAGATACATTTTCTGAGAAATAATATTACAGAAAAAAAAATCAAAACTGACACACAGACACTCTTACTTTTCCATAAGGAATGGAAAATGTATTGCTGTCCATTAAGAATCATTATACGAATAGCAATTTATCAAAATGTATGATATAATGAAACAATTAGTAAAACAGTAACAGATATTTTTAACCTATTTTATAATGCAACTAACCTTTCATGAGCTTATACCTAAGTTGTCATAATGAACATGAGTTTTTATATAAAACTTATACAATAGGTCTATGACATTGAATTCAATCTACACCAAAGAATATATACATCTAAAAATTGACTTGTAGATGCACCATTCATCTATTTTTCTTTATAACTGAATTACTCTAAGAGGAAAAATAAAGATATACAAATTTTCATAGTTCTGCACATTTTGGATTTCAGAGTAAAACAATACACTGATCTTTCTCCAAGTTTGTATAAAACTTGACCTTTATCATAGTAATTTTAAAGTATGTGGAAAATATTAGACTGTGACATTAAATTGTAGTTTAAAAAGTGTAACTCATTTTACATTGAAATAACTTTAAAATAAATATTCCATACCATGGTTTCTGGGCACTTTTTACAAGTAATACTAGGCCCTCCATTATTAGATATCATCTGAAATCCTGGTAGACATACACAAGAAGTTCCTAAAAAAGAAAAGAGCAAATATTTCTTTTTTTTAAAGATTTATTTATTTATTCATACAGAACTGGGGTACAGGCCAGAGATTCGGAGGATTCACCAGAGACAGAGCGGGAAGCAGAACAGGCAGATCGATGAAGTACACTGCAGAGGGGAGCAGCGGGCGGGTCAGGAGAGGTCTGCCACGCCATGTGGTCACCTCCGGGGCAGGCGGGAATCGAACTCATGCGGAAGCGGCTTTAGTTTCTCAGTGCAGTGCTTTAACCCGCTGCGCCACCAGGGAGGGCCGAAAAGAGCAAATTTTAATCTTGAGAAATAAGTCTCCAAGATAGGGGACCCTCTCTGGTGGCAAAGGGTTAAAGCGCAGCCCCTTCAGCATGAATTGTCTTCCTGTTCCTGGCCAGGAGGTGACCCACAAGGTGCAGCAGACCTCTCCTGACCCGCCCACTACTCCCCTCAGCAGTGTACTTGGTCCATCTGCCTGTTCTGTTTCCCACTCTGTCTCTGGAGACTCCTCTCACCTCCCCTGCACCTCTGGCCTTATCCCAGTTCTGTATGCATAAGTAAATCCTTAAAAAAAAAAAAAAAAAACAAAAAACTCCAAATAGGGAAACTTGATAATTCTTAAGATCCTGACAGGGAGTACAGTAGTTAAGAGCAAGACTTTGGCATCAGTGCTACTAGCTTTCAAATTCATAAATATATTCTTTGGGTTCTAATTTCAATCCTGCTACTTAACTACATATCCCTGAAAAAGTTACTGAAATTTCTGGCTATCAGCTTCCTCGTGTGTAAACAGGTACAACACCACCGCTTATCTCACAGAGTTAGTACAAGTATATGTGATAGTCTTACACTGGCACAGAGTAGGTGTTGTGCTTGCTATTTTAAGTACAAGCATAACTGAATCATTAAACTAATAGTCAAACTATTGACTAACTGTTATGGTAAATTTTACATTTCTATTTCACTCAACCACAAACATATATCCAATGAATTAAAATTTACTTTACCAAGAACAAAACTTTATAAAGAACACTACCTTAATTCAAATGAATCATTTTTTAAAGACTTATTTATTTTATGCATACAGAACTGGGGTGCAAGCCAGAGGTACAGGGTAGTGAAAGTATTCACCAGAGACTGAGTGGGGAAGAGAACAGGCAGATCAATGAAGTACACTGCTGAGGGGAGTAGCAGGCGGGACAGGAGAGGTCTGCTGCACCATGTGGATCATCTCCGGGGCTGGGGATCGAACTCGCACTGTCATGGCTGCAGCTGGCTTGTAGTGCTGCGTCCTAACCCACTGCGCCAACAGGAAGGACCTCAAATAAATCACTTTTAAAAATACATTTGGAAAGAAAGTAAAATTATAAGGTAATCAGTATTCAGCACTCTGGAAAAGTACGGAGAATATTCTCTAAAGATTATACATGGAAGTAGTACAATGCATGTGATGTCTGGGTTCATAATTATTAAACTAACAGTTTACACTTTAGAGTCTGTGAAATGCTTTCTCATTCATTGTTCTTCACTTGAAGAGCCTGATCTGTCCTATATAATGATTTAAATGAAGATATAAAATTTGGAGATGGATGATAGTGCTATGAAATCACCAAAATGAGACTGAAAACATCTTGGTCTTTGGGGAAAGTTTTATTCTGAGCAGTTTCCCAATCCTAATGAGATTTGTAATATTAACGGACGCACTCAATAGCACAATACACCAGTTAAGCCTAAAGGCAAAGAGGCATCGTTCTTCAAGTTCCCAATTTCGGTGACAAGACAGTACCTCATCTGGGCTTCAGTTTCCTGATCTGTAAAATGAGAAGATGGACCTGTTGGTCCCTTCCAGCTCAATGTTTCGAGGATTTGCAAAGCAAATAAAGTGCTAAATCGCATCCTCTCCGACCGGTCATGTGCTCCTCTGCACCTCAGATTACATCCCATTTCTTTTCTACCTTGATAGTGGCTTTCCAGACACCTCCCTAAAGACTCCTCAATTGAGGTGTGGAGGACTGGCACCCAGAAATTAATTACGAGCAACAGTTCAGGGACTGGGGGTAGCCCAGTCTCTCGGGTGTGCAAGCTGCAATCCTCCAGGAAACCCTCTCAGGCGTTGGCGGTTAACCGTGCAGAAACATTCTTCACTCAGCTGAAAAGGTTTTCAACGACTCTAAAGCCCGGAGGCACTACCAAGGCGGGAGCGTTATTTTAACCAGGGCCCAGCCCAAACAGCCTCACCTCGGGCGTCCCGCTTCTGGTTGGCTCCACAAGGGACACAGGAGAGTGCGGAGATATCGAAGTACTCGTTGTGACCGCACATCTCGGGCTGCCGGAAAGGAAAGGAAAAAGTCTGGGCCTGCGAGACGCGAAGGAGGACCATAGAGAGGAATGCAGTCTCTACCGCCAGGGATAAGATGCACCAAGCCGCCATTGCTACCCAGCCACGGCGCCGACCGTCACCATGGTGCAGACGCCGGCGGCCTTCGCTGTCTCCGACGTCCCACCAGCCCCTGCGGCAATTCTAAAGAGCCTATTGGACAACTCCGAGGGAGCTCGGAAGTCCGCCCGCTTTGCCTGGTTGCTAAGTTACTAAAGCCGCGAGTATCTGGCTAGGGCGCAACGGGCGCCGCAGACTGTTCAAAACCCTGGGATGCGACTCATTCGTGGGAGTTGAAACCAATTTAGGGGATCGGGAAGTAGAACATCACAGCAAAGGGATTATCTGACTGTGTCACATAAATTAAGAGTAAGTATTGTTTCATTTAAACTGTTACATGTTATTTACATCCTAATGTATCCAGACTAGATAATTTTCATGATCAGGATTTCCTAGAAAATACATGTAAATAAAGCATTATTTTTTTAAATAATATAAGTTTATTTTTACATCATTTTGAGCCTTTTTCCATCTTAGTTGTTAATTTTAATACACAGCACTCTGTCTCAGGGACTAAAAAAGTCAGGACAGACAAAATATAAGAGGAGCAAAAACTGACTTTCTCTTGAGCAGGAAAGGATCAGAGCAGGAAGACAATCATTTCAGGGGAAAAGGATGATTTTCTTTCAGACTGCAGAGAAAGAGGAGAGATGAGTAAAGCCATAAAGAAATCCTGGACTGGGGTACAGAGTAATTGAGCAAGATCATTTTCCTGAGTAAAGGAACAGACAGAGTAATTGTAAAGAAAATCAATTAGAGATGAAACTACATCTTGCCTGCAAGGCTAGATCATATTGGAGGAGGGCTGGTGGGGGCACAGTGAAGGGAATGGGCTAGGAGAGATGTGGGGAAGAAGAATATACTTCTGTTAGAGTGGACCTAAGTTGCTGACTCAGGAATAGCAGAAATGAATGGACAGGTCTAACTGACTGAGGAAGAGGCTGAAACTAGAAATGGGAATCCAAGTGTTCCAAAGTTTACTATGTTTTGGGGACTCATTTAGTAACACATATACTAAAATTGTAATGATTTAGAGAAGGCTAGCATGGCTCCTGCACAAGGATGATACATAAATTTATGAAGGGGTCCATATTTTTTAGTGTTCTTGTGAAAATCATCCTTGGTAGGGAGTTAAATCATTTTTCAAACTCTTATGGACTACTTCAATGGGTAGACACTTGTCAGGGACAAGGTCTACCACGGTGCTTTCCTTCAGAAACTATTAGAAAAATAGACACAGAAACAAATATTTAAAATGTACTGGAATTACTGTTCTAATTAAGGATATGGAAGATAAGATTGACTTTGTCTGGAGGACTGAGGGTAGGCAGGAGATCAGCAAAGAAGCCACAAAGGAAGAGATATGTAGGACAGCTCAAACTGAGGGACCAGCAGGAACATACCCAGAGGTTTGTGAAAGCAGGCATATCTAGAAAGGCGAGTGTCTGGGTGTCTCTGGGGTGCAGGGTTTGTATGGTCAATGACAAGACCTGAGGCTGGACAGCTTGAAAGGAATACAAATGACGGCAATCGAATGGTTATATTTGCTTATCACAGTTTCAAGGTTAAGACTTTACAACACTGGGGACTAACATGATAGGATTTGCAGTTCTAGAGGTAGAGGTGATTTGTGAGGCTAACACAGAAATCCAGGGTTTAAGTTAGGGCAACGGGAGAAGGAAAAAGCAAGAGAAGGTGAATCAAAGTCATTTAGGAGGAAGAATCCTAGGAATTTTTTTTATGATTTGGACAATGAAACCAAGGATCATACCCAGGTTCCTGCTTTGGTAGTTGGACAGATAGAAACTGCCTGGGGTTGATAAAAGCTTTTTGAATAGATTAATCTTATTGAATAGATTAAAGAAATTTAAAGCAAAAATGAAAGTGATAGGAATTATTTGATATGTTGATAGGAACTAAAGCCATGGGTGGTAATTGAAATAATTTCATCAATTTCTTGCTTCCCATGTGTCAGGCACTGCAATATCTCATTTGATCTAAATTGGGACCACCATACTTTGCAGATGATAAAACCATGGCTCAGAAAGCATATGCCATTTCCTAAGAGCACTGTTAGATCATCATTTGAACCTGGACAATTTGACATCAGATTTCATAGTCTCAACCTTGATTCTTTTTTCACAGTAGCAAATGTATTTATTTAAAAAAATGTGAAAACTGTACTTTAAATTTTTAGACATGTGAAGAAAGTTACCGTATTGTAATATTGCTGTATTTCAGTGCTACTATTTGGCTCTGCTGTTGCTGAGATAACATGGTGCCAGAGGGCTCAGCAGTACAAACCTCAGGCTGGGATGGGGATGAGGGAGACGTGCCTTACTCTATAGAACAGGTAGAGCTTCACTTTAGAGTCTGCATGTTACTGCTGCTCTTGAAATCCTGGATTGAATTTCCTGGGCATTCATAAAGAAAAGCAAAAGGCAAATGAGACCCATGCAGGGATTAATGAATTCACAACCTACAAAAAGGGTATAGAGAAGATTCAAAGTGCAAAAGTGGAGGTTGTAGTCAGAAAGGGAAGTGAGTTCAAGGTCTTAAAGTTGGGGCACTGTGTGGTGAGCCCTGCACTTTCCCAATCTCTAGAATCTTTGTGCCAATGGCTACTATATTTAAGTAACTGCAGTGTCATATTCAATATGTTCCAAACTGAACTTAGCTTCCATGATGAAACACTCCTGGTTTCCCTCCAGGTTATTTCTAGAATAAGCTTTCTGGTTACTCCTACTCTTTGCCCTTTGTAGACTCAGTCTCCTTTACTTGGCTATTAAAAGAGGAGTCTCTGAGTCCCCGTCCTAGACTTTTGCCTCTTTTCATTCTGTGGTTCTTCTCCTAGGTGATGTCAGTTATGTCTGTGACTTTAATGACCACTTTTTGAAGATGACTCACATCTTTCTATGTCCAGATCTGAACCAGTAGTTTCTACTGGTTTTAATGCTTCATTTGGGTAGAATGAAGCATGTTTTTTAATCAGGGGTATCTAAAAACAACTCATAATCTCCATCTTTTCCCTTTCCCCTTCCCCCTTGCTCTCTTCAGTGCCCTCTGTCATTTAATGGAGGCACCAGCCAATTTGTAATCTAGGTCAAAAAAAGCAATTTTGATAGTTTTACCCTTTATTTTTTCGTTTCAGTCCATAGTAACACTTCTTGATTTTATCTTCTCAAATATCATCTCACCCAAATGCCCCTTGAATTCTTTCTTTAACCTCTGCTTCACTGTATCCTAAATGTCTTCTCCCATATGAATTAATGCAATAACCTTTTTTAAAAATTAATTTGTCAGTTTTAGGCACTATCAATTGATTGCCTTTTATGGATGATGAAGATTTGCTTTCTACAATGCATGTTTTCTCAACGTGCATTTCAGATCCCCATCCTTTAGAATATATTTGTTTTAAAATTTCAATGAATAGTAACTAGGTTTACATTATTGTAATTATTTAAAGGATACTTCTGAGTTATATGCCATACCACAATTTTTATTCTTTCTTACATGAATAGTTGTCTTTTTTGCTCTTAGGTGCTTAGCATTAATTCCTAAATTTTTCTTTAGAAGCAATAACCTCTTTTCAATGTGTTCAGTACATTTACTAAGTGCCAGGTTCTCCTCCAAGTGCTTTTAATCCTCATAACAGTCCTTTAAGGTAGGTATTGATATTCCCAAATTTTAGATGAGAAAGTTGAGGTACAGCGAGAGAGTCAATGAGAACTGGAATTTAGATTCAGGCATCTATGTTCTTAGCTGCGATGAGGTCTCCTGTCATGGGATTAAAGCACGAATGATAAGAATATGTTATCAAGCTGGGAGAGGTATAGAGGGTGCTGTTAAAGGAAGAGTTCCAGTTTAGTGATTGCATATCCTCTAATTTCTCAATTTACTTCCTGTTTTGGATAGAGCACATATTTTAGCAGCTTCCTGAGAGAGGGTGCACATGATGTTGCATACATAAAAATGTGTTTATTTCTCCCTCACACTTAATAGATTTACTAGGGTATCAAATTCAGTTGGGAAATAATTTTCTCTCAGAACTTTAAAGTCATTGCTCTTTTTTTTTTTTTTTGGTTTTTAATATGCTGTTGAAATATTTGCTGCCATTTTGACTCTTAATCTTGTGTGTGTAATTTGTTTTCTGCTTGCAGAAAGTCTTTAGGGTGTTTCCTCTGTCCTTCTTTTTCTTGATTTTTACACCAATATGTCATAGGGTGTTTTACTGTCTTCTTGTTGAACACTTGTTAGATCATAATTATTCCTTTCCAACACTCCCTCCCTTTTTCCTGTTTTTTTCTTTTTTTTCTGGATACCTTATCTTTCAGATATTGGACCTCTGGGATGCCCCCTCTTAATTTTCTTATATTGTTTTCTCCCACTTATTTTAGATTGCTCATTCTTCCTGGAAGATTTTCTAAGTTTTACCTGTGAAATATTTCAGTGAAGTTTTCGTTTTCACAGTCATTAATTTCTAAGAACCCCTTTTTATTTTCCAATAACCTTATTTATAACATATTAGCATTCTTCATGGATGCAGTCTTCTTGAAGACATTGTTTTAAAGTTTCCCTAAAGCTTTAAAGATTCTGCCTGCATCATCTGTTTCTTCAAAGCTGTGCTATCAGGGGCCTCCCTGGTGGCACAGGAATCAAAGTCTCTGTGCTATCAAGCTGTTGTGCATGGTTTGATCCTGGGCCAGAGACCTGACCCACATAGTACAGTACACCTTTCCTGTCTCACCCACTGCTTAGCAGTGTATCTCAGTAGATCCACCTGCCCTACCCCCCACTCTGTCTCTAGTGAATCCTCTCAGCTCCTCCCCCTACGGCCTGTACCCCAGATCTTGTATAGTAGATAAAACAAAAAGTCTTTAAAAAGTTATGTCTTTCTTCATTAATCTGGTGAATCTCTGCTAATCTTTGCTATTTATATGTATATTTTATCTTTGTACTATATGTATATTGGAGTGGATCAAACTGCAAAAGCT